AAGAGAAGGAGGAAGGGGGATCTAGTGGCCTGTTACAAACTAGTCAGAGGGGACCAGCAGGCACTGGGGGAGTCCCTGTTCCGCCGAGCACTACCAGGAGTGACCAGGAATAACGGTCACAAGCTGGCAGAGGGCCGATTCAGACTAGACATCAGGAGGTGCTACTTCATGGTCAGGGCAGCTAGGATCTGGAACCAACTTCCAAGCTAAGTGGTGCTGGCTCCTACCCTGGGGGTCTTTAAGAGGAGGCTAAACGAACACCTTGCTGGGATCACTTGACCCCAGTACTTTTTCCTGCCATGGCAGGGGGTCGGACTTGATGATCTGCTCAGGTCCCTTCTGACCCTACCAACTATGCAACTATGAAACAATGCTTAAATACAAACAAAAGTTTAAACAAAAGTAAAACTATACTCCAAAGCAAAGAAAAGTGTAATGAATGCCTGCATCACCGAGTCACATGTTAAAGGTACAACTCTCCGACTATTAATATTATTTTTTCAACACCCAGGAGAGCCCTATATGCTTTACAGAAATAAAGGCATGGCAACTCCCTTGAAGAGCTTTGTAAACAATAAGTCAAGCACTGACCCACAGGCTGCCCTCATTTCAGTACAAATCAGCTAACAGTATCAATAGGACATGTGCCCATCCATATCTAGCCCACAACCTCCGTCTTAGGCTTGCCTTCTTGCCCAAGTATTCCATCCAGTCACATCTCATTCATTTTTACCCTGAGCTTTTTTTCTTTTCCATGGGTAGCGGAGAATGAGGGCAGAAAACCTAGCTTCTCTCTCAAAACGACTATCTCTGGACATCTGCCTCTTTCCTGCTGTTCAGTCTCCTTCATTGGGTCCAGCAGCACTGCATGGAGCCCAGCATATCAAAAGCGTCCTCTCCACCAAAACCCTCCAGCTTCCCCACTTGCTTCCTCCACATCCAGGACATCCCCTCACACACACAGAAGTTTTTCCCCTTCTGATGCAGTTTCCTAGGCTTTTTTCTCGACACAAAGCACTGCTTTTCCCTTCTCGCCTTTCTTTCAAAGCCCCAGCCACACCACCTCCCCCTGGGGCGGCTGCACAGCCCGGCACCGGGGAGTGGGGAGATGCCTATCCCAGTTTGCCCGGGTCATTTTCGGGTCCTTCCCCGCCCCCCCCCCGGGCAGGGAGAGGCCGGGGGCGGCCCCCCAGTAAACGTGACAGCGCTGCACGCCCGTGCCCGTGACCCCGGGGTGGGGCTGCGACGCCGATGCACGGGAGCAGCCCGCGGGCTCACCAGCCCTCAGGAGCCGGGCGGCACCTTGCAGGCCACCGCCGCTGGGGCGCACGCCCCCATCCACCTCTTGCGGACCGGGCGACAAAGCCCGGCCCCGCCCCGCCCGGCGCCGCTTTCCGAGCGAGCGGGGAGCGCCGTCGCCTCACCTGGTCGATGGGCAGGCGCACTGCGACGCTGAGCGGCTGCAGCAGCGTGGAGCCCGTGGTGCTGGCGGGCATGACCGCGGGGGGATGCGGACAGTACCAGGAGAAGCCGCTCGCACCCGCTCCCGCGGCGGCCGCGCAGCGCCGCCCCGCGCGTCGTGACAACAAGAGGCCGGCACGGCCCGGCCTCTGAGGGACGGCGCCGCGGCCCAATCCAGGCGCCGCGCCCCCGCTGAGTGACAGGCGGCGCCGTCCAATCCGCGCCCGCCCCCTCTCAGCGCGGGGCGGGACGAAGTATCGCCCCCCAGCCCTCCGCTGCCGGCCAGGCTAGGGCTGGAAGAGGAGGCGGGCATGGGGGGAGGGGCTGCAAGAGGGGCGGCCCAGGGGGCGCTGGGCCCCGCCCCGCGATACCGCCGCTTCCATTTGCGCGTCTGAGAGAGGAGCCCGGGCAGCACCGTGGCCGTGGGTGGGCCCCAACGCGGTCCCCACGCGCGGGGCTGTGGGAGGGCGGCAGCCCCGCGCAGACGCGCCACGTCCCCGGCCCCAGGCACGAGCG